CTCGTGGCTCTGTCCAAGGTCTCCCGAAGTCGCCTCGCCTTCCAAGGGGTGTTCCAGCGACAGAACGCGTTCGTTTGTCCCTAGGTAACTTGTTTGTTTTCTGCTCAGATGTGGAGCTCTTTCCGTGCGTCCGCTCATATATTTCTTCGCTGCTTCGATTTAAAAGTGGCAGAGTCAGAGTCAGTTCCCTGATGCAGGGAGGCAAAAGACAGAAGACGTCTTTTTTTTTTTTTTTTTTTTTTTTTTTTCTTCGCTGTTGTCAGTCTGGCAGTTTCTGCAAATGTTGCGTTTCCTTCTTTTCTGCTGTCTTTGCAGAATTGTGGCCTTGCAGTATAGAGGCCTCTGAGGCAGAAAATAGTTGTTCTTTTTTTTCCGTAGATCTGTTTAACTGCAAAACCTCTAAGGTTAGTCAAATAATGCAGTTTGTTTTGACACTGGCAGGACACAAAAAAAACTTACTGGTGGTAGCATTCATGTTTAAGATAATTGTGTTGTCCTTACGGAAAGAACGAGGGGATGGTAATCTTCCTCTTAAACATTAAAGTGTGTACACTTGTGGCTCCTGTATGTGTCTGTGATTTACATGTCAAATTCAGCTGTATGCTTTGGAATCCCTCAGCAAGGCTGTTCATATGCACACACTTGGTGCGACTGTTCAGAGGGCTGGAGTGCTGCTGCAGGCCCGCTCAGGCTGCATGATTGGGAGAGTGCAATGAAGAGGGAAGGGGTGTAGGAGCCTTAATTTTGCAGCAGTCCTTTCCATCTTGCCCTTACCCCAGTAACTTTAGCCTTCTGTTTGGTAATCAAGTGCTGTAAAGAGCTGAGCATTTGTACAGTAGCAAAAGCTGCAGGAAAGTAAATGCATTTTTTTAGGGGAAAACATGCCAAGTTTAGTCCTAGAAGCAATCCATGCAGCAGAATCATAAATTAATTTCTTTCACTACATAATTTGGGTTTATTTCTAACTCCATTCCCAGCACAAGTCAGAATGCGTAATGCTTCATGCATACATACAGATTTGCACCTTCACTGTCTTCTGAAGATGAGAGGATGGGAGAACAAATAGGATGCCCTAAATACCAGAATACAAAATTAGCTTCTTCACGCATGCAAAAACCTTGGGTTTAGCTCTGTTTTTTTTAAACTGAGGCTAAAGTCATTATTGGGTTTTGTCTCTTCTGGTTATCTCAAATTTGGCATGTATGTAGATAGAATGAAGGTAAAGTCTTTGTCAGTTCTGGATGAAAGAACACCTTCTTGATTAATTTAACTTCTTCAACAAATTCAAGACATTTTAATCCCACAGAGCTCTGAATCTTAGCAATTGGTTTTGTTACTATTAAAAAAAGAAGAAAAGTTAATGAACATACTTAATTGAAGTTGCTTACCTTTTTCTGGACTAGAGAGGATTTATGAAAATTACCAAAGTAAAAAAAAATGGATTCTTTCCAAGAATGGAATATACTAAAATCTGAATTATGTTTTATATTCACAAGGTAGTGCAAGGGACACAGAGAGAGTGTGAATATAACTTAAGACCATGGCAGCACGCTGGAGAAGAATCCTGATAATATTTGTGGCAGCTCAAGTACTACTTGTGGTAAATACCTTTGAAGAAGAGGATGTACCTGAAGAGTGGATTCTTCTTCATGTTGTTCAAGGTCAGATTGGAGCAGGAAACTACAGCTACTTGAGACTAAATCACGAGGGAAAGATAGTACTTCAGATGCGGAGTTTAAAAGGTGATGCAGACTTGTACGTATCTGACATGACGCTTCACCCCAGCTTTGACGAATATGAGTTACAGTCTGTAACGTGCGGCCAAGACGTCGTCCACGTACCCGCACACTTCCGCCGCCCAGTGGGAATAGGGATTTATGGTCATCCCTCCCACCTGGAGAGCGAGTTTGAAATGAAAGTGTACTACGATCGAACAGTTGTACAGTACCCGTTTGGCGAGGCTTCTTACAACCCTGAGGAGATGGAGGCAAACCAGAAATACTCGCAGTCTACAGAAGATGAATCTCAGGATGAGGAGTCTGTTTTCTGGACTATACTTATTGGAATATTGAAATTAATACTTGAAATTCTTTTTTAAATCGATACACACTGGACTAAGTCACACTTCAGCCTGTGAAACCGAACATGAATGACTTGCTGTAATATTTAATACTCTTTGTTTTGTTTCCTGAAGAGGTATTCAGGTTACTTTTCCTAAACAAGAAAGGAAGTAGGGGAAAAAGCCATATTTAATTTTATATTGCAAATCCTCCCCTCTATAAAAAATAAGCAGCGAGCACAGTATTTGTGGAGATCTGGACTTAAAAACGAATGTACAGTTGGGATCTTGTTAAATTCACTTTAAACAGGTGCTTAGGAAAATCAACTCAAATTCATTTTTTTTCTATTCTTTTTTTATACAGAAAAGTGAAATAAATTGCTGCACTTCAGTGCCCCCGCTCAATTGAGAGCACATTTAAAACTCGAATCTACTTCTTTTCGAGCAAGTATCTCCAGCAAAACTAATTAGTGATGGGTTTTGAGTGTATTCAAGTTGAGGAGCCTAGAGTGAAGGAAGGAAAAAACAATCACCTAAGGGAATAGATGATCTGTATTTTGACTGCTTGTGCTCTACATCATGTCAACCATCTGTCAAGCAGAGGTCTGTCCTGCCACTCATCACCTCTGCAAATCCATGACCGAAATCAAGCACATGTTGCTGCTTCACTGTTACCGCAGGAAGAGTAAGCCTTCAGCTGCTACTGTTTGTCAATATGACATTTTCATTCGTCAAAAGCAATGCAGCATATAGTATCCTCAACTCCAGAAGTATTTTCTTACACCTTCCCTTACAGCTTTTTGTGATCAATTTTTATTTTTTTTTTAGTACAACTTTATGGATAAGTCTTTAGCCTGCAAAGAAAATTTCTGCTGAAAGGAATTTTGAGTATGTTGAGTATGTTTGAGTATGATCATGCCTACTCTTCATTCAAAGTTAGTTTTTCCAGGAGTAATTCTTGCTTTGGTTGAATCTTTCAAAATAACCAGTTGCTACGCAAATAGTATATATTTAAATTGCTCTATAATTTTCACAGAGCTTACTGATGAGTGCACTGAAATAAACAGGTACAATACTACAATTTTATACAAGTGATGCATGTACTATTTAAATTTCATTACTGAAAGCCTCTTTTTAAGTGCGAATTTGGCTTGTCTATCTCTAGACATTTGACAGAATGTGATTAGTGACTTGTATCACAAAAAAACCCCATTATATAGCCAAAATTAAAAGTTTATTTGGTAAAAAGAAAAAAAAAGTGGTATTGTTCCTCTTAAGAGTGGTTGGTTAAGTAGCACCAAGTATCACTTTAATTTGTGCAGTTAAGTTTTGGACAGCAAGTTTTTGGGGGGTTTTAGCCCTCCTTGCTGTTTTTCCCCCTTCTTCCTCCTCTTCTGGGTACGGGAGGGTCTTTCTGACAACAATCACAAATCCAGCGACCTAAGAAAAGAAAGTTGTCAATTATTGGGAAACTAACTTTGTCACTCAACTCATCTAGCCATGCACCTTTCCCCATTCTAACAGGTGCTCATCTACTTGCAGTACTGCCTTTAATGTAAACAACCAATGCTTTTCTTTAAAATGTAAGCATCTTTTCAAAAAGGTATAGAAAGCAGCATATAAAATTCACCCTCCTTTGCAGACCTGTTACATGTAACAGCTGGCTACACTCGTCTTTGTGGGACTCAGAAAAGTGCCACCACTGTGAAAGAGGTGGGTGTTAGGAAAGAACTTGACAAATGACACTTGAGTTTGCAAGTTGTATTTTCATGTGAGCAACCACAGTGCAAGGTTACGGGCAGCGACTCAGCGCAGAAATGAACAGCAGTCGTGGGAATGTTGCTCTTGTGCCACAGGTCTGGGGTCCCTTTCCCCAAACCAGTGTCAGTGCAGTCAGGTAGCACAGATTAAACTGCTGGCAGGTGTTCATCACCAGCCCTACTACTAAAACTCAGTTTACGGAGGGAACAGTAAAGGGTTGAGCAAAGAGCAGAAACATTTAACTGTTTATATTACAACAGCTGGAATCATAAAGGCTGCTTTGGTGACTGTGTAGTTTTGTAGACACATAATCTATTTTGTTTAGATTTGTCCTTAGGTCAGCCTGCAAGTTAAATTGGCCACAGAACCTGTGCTAAACTGGTAGCTAGGGCCAGTGCTTCCCCAAATGGGAATGTGTAGTACATCGGAAGTAGTGTTGTTAAAGGGACTCCTGTCACTGTAGAATTTGCAGTTGCTGAATACTTATTCATGATCATACCGCAGACCTAGTATTACAAGAGAAGCACCAGTACCACCACTTATTTTCTTTACGCTGCCTTGAGCTGGCCAGGAGGTATGAGTGACCAGGTAATCAGTTTAAAGGTACAGGCTGCTTTACATCTAGGTACTTAACTTCCAGCTTTGATGTTTAAGAATAATGGGAAGAAAGGGGTTTTAAAAAGTGTTCACAAGTATTAAATTGAGCATACTTTTTAATTTAGAAACTGAAATAATAGCACAAACTTCATTAATGTGAAAGCTATACTCCAGCAGTATGCAGCAATAGAGCTTCTTTACAGGTTTATTTTATGAAAAGAGGTAATTATTCTCAGTATTCTGTGGATATGGAAAACACCAACCACCTAGTTCTGAGTGAGTCTGTTCAGATTCTGTTGTGAAAGCCAATTCTATTTCCTAGACATGAATTACCAGGTTAAACTGTGCACAACCAAATATACAGAAATAAAGCTTATTAAAAAAAAATGGGTCTTAGTGTGAATGCTTTCCTACAGTATTGTTTAATCCTACCCTTCATGCTTGTTTTAAACTATTCTTTAAATGACAATGCGTATATTAATTCTGGCAGAGAAAGTCCAGGACTTGGAGGAAGTGGGAAGCAAATGATTTATTACTTTATTACCTGATGGGATAGCATCAAGCCCCACACAAAAAGTGTGATAACCACGGTCACATACATCACAGAACATCATTTCTTCTTCATGGTGAGGCTGCCCACATATAATGCATGTTTTACACTCCATACATTGCCACGGGTAAGTCTTAATCATAGCAACAAGGTCCGGGGTCATATCAAGGCAAGAAGGGTGGCCTGGATTAAAACCAATATTATTACTTTTATGTCTGAAATGAAATGTAAAATTAGTTAGACTATTTGCTTTTACAGAAACTGAAGCTTAGCTCACCTCCTGGTGAGATCCTGCAGCGCACTGAATGTGCCAGTATGTGTAACATTAAACAGGAATGGAGTCTCAATAAAAGACAGGAAAAACAATTGAACTGTTGGTACACAAGTGCAGTAGACTAAATATTTCCACAAAAAGATCTGTCAAACGAACTCTCTTAGGAATCCACTTAGTGTATGCAGATACTTACCACTGTTGTCACACTGGGAGCAATGTATAAGAGCTTCAGCTTTTCCTTTCTTGTTGGACTCCTTACCCTTCAGACAAATTCCACATATAGCATTTGGAATGACCTTTGGCTGGAAGGGTAGAACAGGGCTATAAATTCATTCCAGAAGAATTTACAGGTTTAAAAGGAAATGTCATATATGCCCTTAATTCCCAAAATTAATGAACTATCTGTTAAGATGTGTGAACCTTAAAACACACGTCAAAAACTGAACAAGCAGCAGCACTGAAAAAAATTGTACATTAACTACATAAAATTTTCGATTTGGCACACGTAGTGAGTTGTATGTAAATCAAATTGCAGCAAAAGCATGTACTTGCTTCTTCTTATGAATTCATCAGCTAACATTCCCCTCAATGTAAATTAAATGTGGCATAGCATTAAAAAGCTAAGTATTGTTTTCCAATATGGAATACTTCTTTACGAATCTCCATGCAGATTTCCTGTTTATGGAAGAAATCAAATATAATTTTCCATTTGCAAGACATTTGTCCCTAAATATAAAAAAAATAATTACAAAAGCAATAAACTTGATATCTGTATCTTTAGTTTCAAAATATCTGGTTAGCTCTACTGTACACAGCTATCTGTTTTACCATTCTTTCTTGTGTCCAGACATAATTGCTCAGCGAAACACACCTCCTTGTATTTAGCTACAGTTCACATTAATCATCTTTCTAAGCAATCACCAGGAGCATACTTGGGTCCATGAGATCCATTTAGAAGGTAAGAGAGAAGCAGCAGGCTGGTACAATGAGTAACATTGGTGTATGTGCTCTGTGTCCCAACCCAAGAGCTACATCAATGGAGTTTTATCCCAATGAGGACCAAGGAAAAAGTAAGGCATTCAGAAATGTCTCAGTACTTATATTGTTGAGCCTTGACCTCTGCATAATGAAATCAGTGTGAAATGTGATTTAAAATTAACACAGTACTCACTGATGTTAAATTGACTAGTGCTAGGGTTAAAAAAAAAAAAAAAAAAAAATTTTTCCCAAAAACCCAAAAAAAAAAAAAATGTTGCTCCAAAGACGCAGCTGGTAGAGGAAGTGCAAGGCATATCTTGTTTTCTAAGGAACTGAATGTCTTGTGAAGAAGAGTCTCAGTCAACTACCAAGCACATATGGAGAAGAATGAAGTTTAATCTTAAACTAAATAAAAATGAAATATATATATATATAAAAATTACCAGAATTTTTTGTAATAAAACTTTAAGTGTGTCTATTTCTCCAGCCATTATTTTTCTAGCACCTAGCAATGTAATTAATATTTTGAATAACTTTTACATAGTCAGAATGCATTGCTTTAAGTTTTTTGAAGTTTTCAATCTGCTTTCTAAGTTAAAATGTAGCTACAGTCTGCTTCAAATTGTCTGGTCTAAAGAGTTTTAAGAAAACAAATCACCATACCAGATGTTTATAGGTAACTTTCTTCAAAAGATGACAGAGGCATTCATACAAACGTTTTTTTTTGCTTATTTATTTTAAAAAAGCAGAGTCAACCTGTTTTATACATAAATATAATAAAACAATAAAAGTCTAACATTCACAAACATCTCTAGAAAATAATAAATATTATGGAAGCAAAACTACACATAAACTCTTTCACTGTTAACTATTCTATGTGTCCTACATGTATACCTTCATACCCTGCTCCTCCCAACAAAAGTGGCACATGCTTAAAACTCATCAGTGTTGCAGCATTCACCCTTCTGTTGTTTAGGCTACATTCTACTTTTTTTAAATTGTGTTTTTATCTACTCCTACATAAACCAAGCCTTTCTAGAATAGCAAGTGCACTTTTCTAATTAGACTTCTAGTTTTTGTGGATTTGTGTTTTACTGCCT